GCCCTATTAAGTATTATGAGAACTAATGTATTGCACTATTTTGTTTTTAGGTGATTTTAAAAATATTATCTTGCACCATATTGATTATGCTGAAGGTACTTTGACACCTTGACATTTTGTAATAGAGATTTCAGAATTAAATATTTGTTGCTTTAACATTTTATTCAAAATTGAGAAAAAGTAGTATATAGTAGAGAAAGGAGCTATCCAAGGACCAGAATATTTGTTTTAGTCTCATACTCTTACTAATTATGTGAACTTAGGCAATTACTTGGATTCCTCATTTTTGTAATGAGGGTATCAGAAGAACTGATCTTTAAGGGCCAGTCCAGCCTTAGCTTGCTATCATATTTTTATAACTTTCAAATATGAACTTATGTTAAAATCTCAAAGTCTTTCTAAGCTTGGTAAAAGGCGTCTGTTCTATAAAGTTGTATATTCTCTGTCATGCTCCAGTAGATTGTTTGCTTCCATTCTTTATAACCAGAGAGGATCCTAAATTATATAATTTAAGCTTGTTTCTAAGACTTGGGTGGGAGTGAGCCACAAAGTGATGGGCTGGCTCACTTGTCTATAAGGAGTACCTCGGCCATGACCTTATGTTCCAATTAGACTAATCCTGTAGGGAATCAATTAGAAAAAGGGAACCAACATTTTCTGAGTAGATTGTTCTGTGTCCATGAGATGCCCAATATGAAATACCTCTGAGCTGTCCTCAGCATGCAATACAGTGTCTCAGTTTACCTGTTCTATATTCAGCATCTTTGAATATATTATAACTGAAAGTCTCAGAACTATAATATTCTGAAGCAAAACTAAGCTTAGAATCTTCAACAAGTTGAAACTCATCACTCATCCACCCTTTTGTTTATTCTCCATCCATCCATCCATCCATCCATCCATCCATCCATCCATCCATCCATCCATCCAGGAAATATGTATTGAGTACTTACTTAAACACTGTCTTAAGATCTGAGGATACAGTGGTGAACAAGGCAGGCAAGAATCCTGTCTTATAAGAGCTTGTGTTTTAGTGCGGAAGACAGTAAACAACTGAATTACAAAAATAAATTTTCATAGAGGTAATATCGTAAATGATATTTAAAATGGTGTTGCGATGATAATTAGAATGTGGGGTGGGGAGAAGACTATGGGGCTGAGATTAAAATGATGGGAGCCAGCAATAGAGAGGTTGGGGTAAGGGTTTTCAAGGCAGAGAAAACTGCAAAATACAAAGGTCACTCACCAGGGTTAAATTCCATATACAATCCCCTAGGGGAGGATTAGTGGTGCCTTTTTATATATTAATTTAAAAATAACTTTGAGGATTACATGAAAGTGGTGTGTGACTACAGACTTGAAAACTTTAATTCCTTTTACTAGTAGTTTTCAGACTGGCATATGTAGTAAATAGATCCCTTGTTACTGATGAACTTTGTATTGCTGTAGAAAGTGAGTTGGCCGAGCAAAAATAAAACTATAATTTTGAATTTGCAAAATTATGCTTTAAATATTTACTTGCTGTTATTCCTTGTGGAATAATAGATGCGTAAGGAAGTTACAGGAATATGGACATGATCTCTCAGTGATGGTTTTACTTACTGTGCCATTTAAGTGATGATGATTCATCCAGTATACTTTTTTATTTGTGGAGGAGACGGAGTCTTGCTTTGTGGCTCAGGCTGGAGTGCTGTGGCGGGATCTCAGCTCACTGCAACCTCCGCCTCCTGGGTTCAAGCTATTCTCGTGTCTTAGCCTCCCAAGTTGCTGGGATTACAGGCATGTGCCTCCACGCCTGGCTAATTTTTGTATTTTTAATAGAGACGGAGTTTCACCACGTTGGCCAGGCTGATTTCGAACCCCTGACCTCAAGTGTTCCACCCGCCTCAGCCTCCCAAAGTGCTGGGATTCCAGGTGTGAGCCACCGTCCCTGGCCCATCCAATATATTTTTAACATCTACTGTATCTCATAACGAAGCAAGAAATACCAAGTCAGTGGCCATTATACAAAATATAGGAGCTAAAAGTGAAATCGTATTCCTTGTTCTGCAGTTATTATGGAGAAGTTCAATAATAACACACTTTTATTGAGGCTCACTAAATTCATGACCTGTGTTAGTTATGTGGCATAGATGGAGTTCCCAATGTAGAAGTGAGACAGACACAAATAATGACCTCTACCACAATATTTTAAGTGCTATAATAATGATAATAGTGCCACAGCTCTAAGGGAATAGAGTTCCCCTATATGTTATAAGCCTTTATCAGACTTAAAAAATTTAGCATTTAATGGGATTTTTAAAATTCAGAAATTAAGAATGATTAACACTTTCTACATTGAGGAGGCATTCTCAATCAAAACCCAAATAGTGTGAAACCATAGGGAACTCATTTCTCATTATTAACATTGTTTTTTTTTATTTTAAATGTCGTATCCTCTAATGATAATACCTCTACCCAATGGGGAAAAATTCCTTTCCTTATAATCTCCCTATAATATTATATTTCTTATGATAATATATCATATCCTAATGATGTTATTTTATGGTAAGTATCCTTAGATGTTTAGCAGAAACTGAGTGTAATTTGTATGAACCTGTAAAATGGGACTCAAGCTTGGAGTCTTAATTCAGGGATATACATTTACAGTATAGGAAAGGGGCAATTATGATTAGGTACGTCTAGAATGTGAAACTATGAGGTATTAGTATAGTGAATGTGTTGACAATGTTTTCCTCCCAGCCTTTTCCCTGAACTACTTATATAGTTATAGCAAGATGATGAAGTTAAGGAGCAGTGATGAGATGAGTTCTAGAAATAACTCCGTCTATATTGAAAATTAAGTTAAAAACTAGTTACTATCAGATAAATGTATTTAATGACTTTTTAAGATTAATCTACAACCTGAGAGTAACAGAAAGGAATAATTGGGAACTGGTGAATGCTTTCAACTGATTTGATTAATTAACATGCTAATTGGAGACTATATTGTTTTACATTTTAATAACTGTTTTCACTTATTTTTTTAGAAAGGCTGATAACTCTGATATCTTTCAATAGATGTGGGTTATGTATAATGGTATATATTAAGTTTTATTTGCTGGATTTTGTGGAATCGAATGTACATATCTTAACTAGGAAAATTAATAAGATGATTTTTGAATGCTTATCCTCTGGGTTAAGGAGGACTAGCTAATATTAATTCTAATGCCTGAATTGTAAATTTAAGCACCCCTGTCAATGACACTTTGTGTAATTCAAGTTCATATTCTATTCAGGTCATGAGCACCAACACTGTAATTTTTTTTTTAAATGAGGTCGAGGAAAATGTTGAGATATATACAACACAATTTTAACACATCAATTCTGTGATCAAGAACTTTTAAGTGTGTAGCACTCTGCACACATTTTTATATAACAAAATAAATATTCTGTGCATTATTTTACTTAAAATTTTTTTTAAAAACATTGTCTAAAATGGTATCTTTGTTTATTTTTTAGGGAGGGCTGAAAAACAGCAAACATGAATGCACCCTGTCTTCACAAGAATATGTTCATGAATTACGATCGGGTATATCAGATGAGAAACTTCTTAATTGCCTAGAATCCCTCAGGGTTTCTTTAACCAGCAATCCAGTCAGGTAAGTCGTTATTATCATTTTGGTATGATTCATACAATTTGTAGTGTATATAATTGTTTGGGAATATAATAAGTTTTGTTATTTAAACCTCAGGATTTTCTGACTAAAAGTCTGATGTTAATAAAGCAGCAGCATCTGATTGTGAAGTTGTAAACTTTTAAAAATATATTTAGTTGGATCTCCAGTAATGTACAATTTTAGGAATACAAATATTAACATAGAGCCAGAAGTTAAATGTCCACATTTACATGAAAATCTATTTGTGGGCTCAGATAATTATTATATATTTATTTATTAAGCAAATTAAGCATATTTGCTCCATGATTTTATTCTTTTGTGTGTGTGTGTGTGTGCGAGACGGAGTCTCGCTCTGTCGCTCAGGCTGGAGTGCAGTGGCACGATCTCGGCTCACTGCAACCTTCGCCTCCCAGGTTCAAGCAATTCTTCTACCTCAGTCTCCTGAGTAGCTGGGACTACAGGCGCGCACCACCATGCCCGGCTGATTTTTGTATGTTTACTAGGGAAGGGGTTTCACCATAGTGGCCAGACTGGTCTCGAACTCCTGATCTCGTGATCCAGTTGCCTCGGTCTCCCAAAGTGCTGGGATTACAGGTGTGAGCCACCGTGCCTGGTCAATTTTATTCTTTTAAAACTTGAAAGGTATATATAACTTCATGTTCTTCTATAAGTTTTAGATATACTCCACATATTTCTGTAATTTTGAGATAGCAAAAAGTGATTTATTTTAACCAGTAAAAGAAATGAGAGCATTAATACACTCCTCAAAACTCTACTAATTTAAGCTATTAACTAACTACAAAGGATTGTTAGGAGGTTACTTGCCAATGGTGGATTCCAGTAACTGTGGTTCCTTTATTAAGCCTTTAAATCAATAACACCCAAAATAAAATGTTTTATAAAGAGAAACAAAATTTCAATAAAATATCAAAACATTCTTGGCCGGGCATGGTGGCTCACACCTGTAATCCCTGCACTTCAGGAGGCTGAGGCAAGTGTATTGCTTGAGTCCAGGAGTTTGAGACCAGCCTGGCCAACATGGTGAAACCCCGTCTCTACTAAAAATACAAAAAAGTCAGCTAGATGTGGTGGTGTGTGCCTGTGGTCCCAGGTATTCAGGAGGCTGAGGTGGGAGGATCACCTGAGCCCGGGAGGTGGAGGTTGCAGTGAGCCCAGATCCCGCCACTGCACTCCAACCTGGGAGACAGAGCCAGACCCTGTCTCAAAACAAAACAAAACAAAACAAAACAAAATCTGGGATCTATTTGTATAACTGCTAGAAGTTCAAAATTTACTCCGTAAGAGTATATAAAAAACTTACTGTGATTTTATCCATGTTTTTCCTAATATGTAATAGGCCTAAATCTTGTACTTTTCTGTCCTTTCCACAGAGCCTTGAAAATAATTTAGAGCTCAGTCATTCAGTTTGGATTTATGTATAAATTGAAATATATTAATTACTTATTTATAGTGCACTTGGCAAAAATACCTGGAAAATTACAATTTTAAAACAACAAAAAATTTTAAAAAGCCAGTGTTAAGATGTGACTTATCTTAGAGTATGATAATCATTGAAAGACGATTGTCTTGCTATTTCTTAAAAAATACTCCTAGGTTTTTGTTTTTGTTTTTGTTTTTTTTTGAGATGGAGTTTTGCTCTTGTCACCCAGGCTGGAGTGCAGTGGCGCTGTCTCGGTTCACTGCAACCTCTGCCTCCTGGGTTCAAGTGATTCTCCTGCCTCAGCTTCTCCAGTAGCTGAGATTACAAGTGTGCACCACCTCGCCTGCCTAATTTTTGTATTTTTAGTAGAGACGGGGTTTCACCACGTTGACAGGCTGGTCTTGAACTCCTGACCTCAAGTACTCCATCTGCCTCGGCCTCCCAAAGTTCTGGGATTACAGGCGTGAGCCACTGCACCCGGCCAAATGCTCCTGGTTTTAACGGTTTGAATGAACAGGGGACGTGAATTCTTGAGAACAGTAACCACGGTGGTGCATTTTTCCCCCTGCACATAACGTACAGCACTCTACCGTTTTGCCAAGCACTTCATGCTCCTAAAATTTCTGTTGCATTGTTGTTTGAATGAATGAATAAATGAGTCTTTTAAAAGTAATTGTAGGCCGGGCGCGGTGTCTCAAGCCTGTAATCCCAGCACTTTGGGAGGCCGAGGCGGGTGGATCACGAGGTCAGGAGATCGAGACTATCCTGGCTAACATGGTGAAACCCCGTCTCTACTAAAAATACAAAAAATTAGCCGGGCGTGGTGGCGGGCGCCTGTAGTCTCAGCTACTTGGAAGGCTGAGGCGGGAGAATGGCGTGAACCCGGGAGGCGGAGCTTGCAGTGAGCCGAGATCACGCCACTGCACTCCAGCCTGGGCGACACAAAAAAAAAAAAAAAAAAAAAAAGTAATTGTAGAAGTTGTAGCATTAAGAAATGAAGAGGGGGACTAGTAAAAATGCATTTTTATAGAGATGTTGGGAAAGGCTTGCTTGAAATTACACGTGGGACTTTTACTAGACAGGCGCTTTGACCAGCTAAGCAACAGGGCTCCCCTCGTGTGGGGCTTTTAGAATGTAGCAACCACTGACACACAGGGAAGGATTATGCCATCAGGTGAGAAGGTGGCCGACCCTGACTGGCTGGAAGCAGACGCATTCTGGTAGCTGATTGGTCCACAGGTAGCGTGAAGCTTGTCACGTCCTCAGGCTCCCAGCATTCAATCGTAGCCTTTCAGACAGCTTGAAGCCTTCTGTGGAGAGCTCAAAGCCTTCTGTGGAGAACTCAAAGCTGTCCGTGGAGCCCCAGACGAGCCAAAGCCCACCTTCTCCTCGGCCTGAACTGTCTTGAAGATGAGTAACAGTGGGTTTGGGAGCTATGGCAGCATTTCTGCTGCTGATGGAGGGAGTGGAGGCAGTGACCAACTGTGTGAGAGAGATGCAGCTCCTGCTATTAAGACCCAAAGACCTAAGGTCCGAATTCAGGACGTTGTACCGTGTAATGTGAACCAGCTTCTCAGCTCTACTGTGTTTGACACTGTGTTCAAGGTTAGGGGAATTATAGTTTCCCAGGTCTCCATCGTGGGGGTAATCAGAGGGGCAGAGAAGGCTTCAAATCACATTTGTTACAAAATTGATGATATGACCGCGAAACCAATCGAGGCCCGACAGTGGTTTGGTAGAGTAAAAGTCAAGCAAGTGACTCCACTGTCAGTCGGAGCATATGTCAAAGTGTTTGGTATCCTCAGATGTCCCACGGGAACAAAGACCCTTGAGGTATTGAAAATTCATGTCCTGGAGGACATGAACGAGTTCACTGTGCATATTCTGGAAACGGTCAATGCACACATGATGCTGGATAAAGCCCGTCGTGATACCACTGTAGAAAGTGTGCCTGTGTTTCCATCGGAAGTGGATGATGCTGGGGATAACGATGAGAGTCACCGCAGTTTCATCCGGGACGAAGTGCTGCGTTTGATTCATGAGTGTCCTCAACAGGAAGGGAAGAGCGTCTATGAGCTCCAAGCTCAGCTCTGCGACCTTAGCCTCAAGGCCATCAAGGAAGCGATTGAATATCTCACGGTCGAGGGCCACATCTATCCCACTGTGGATCAGGAGCATTTTAAGTCTGCTGATTGAGGCAGGGAAAACATCCTTTCCTTTTCCAAAGATCCTTGCATCCAGCTGAGAGTAATTTTGACCTGTTGACTTTTTAGGAAGTAGGACTAAAAAAAAAAAAAAATCTCAAGTGGCATTCTTTGTCAACTCGCTGCTTTTCTAACTGCTTTGAACTCTTCAGATTTTCTATATTTGAAGCTCAGAGAGAGATGGTGATGGATAAATTGACAACTCTGTAGGATTTACTAGCAAGCTAATGGAAACATGATGATTTGGGGGGAAGAAAAACTACAGAAAATGTAGAAATGTATTATTTAATTGTGTTGGAGCTTCTTTTCCCAAAAAAAGACAAAAAACGACAACAACAAAAAGTCTTGCTTGTTTTTATGTTAGAGTTATTTTCCATGTTTGGATTTAGCGTATAATGACATTATCTCTTGTTCAATATAGTATTTAGTACTTCATTAATTCAAATGAGCTGAAGATATTAATTTGTGAATTCTAATGCTCAGTTCAAACATTTATGTGTGATTTGCTCTCATTACTATGAATTTATGTTTTCTTAAAATAAGATTATACTATGTTTAAATAAATCATTTTTGCCAGGTTATCTTTGAATTTTTTTTAATGTGGTGAGGTTTAATGATTATTTCATACATGACGTGGTATTTGGATGAAATTACAATTTATTGTACTTGCATGGTAAATGGATGCCAGAGTTTCTGTAAGTTTGATGTGCTGGTGTATTATTTATTTTACTAAATGCTCTGTTTTATGTATAACAAGGTAATTTTTAGGAGGTTAGGGAAGCAAGTCATAGGAAATGAAACTTACTGAGTTTAACACAAATTTATTCAAATGTTTTATTAAAATAGTTTTATAAAATCTTAACTTTACTGTGTGATTTTTTTTCTAGGTACATTTGAAAAAGCCTTTTTGTTTTATATCCTTAAGGATTAATAGTTAATTATCCAGAATTTTTTCTTTTCTATATATAATACCAAGAACATATGCTATAGCCTAGTTCTAACAATACATTTTAGTGTAGATTATATAAATTATGTGAGACTTTTAAATAATTGACCATTAAAGAAAGCCCTCAGTTACCTATACACTAAAGATGGTATCTTTCAAGGTGTTAAATATTTTACATTAGAGGAAAGAAAAAATATATACTTTTGAATGAATATGTATTATATTTTATGTAATATATGTATATTCATATATAATATATATTCAGATAGAAGAGAAGAACATTATTTGTCTAATTGAATCATGAAAACTGAAAAAAAAAAAAAAAACAACTCTTAAATGGAGCATTGCCAATAATCCGTACTTTCAGGAAAACTTTCAGAAAATGGCCTGCCATTAGAAAAACTTACCACCAATTCTTGCTTAAGCTTTGTGATGCATATTTTTCTTCCCCTTGAAAGTAAAGAAATCATAAATGGCACTCTTGAAAAACACAAATGAATAACATACTATAAACCTGTTACTTCAATTATCAGACATTTTGAAAATTCTGGTCTTCATAAACCTAAAATATTCGGAACCACTTTTTGTTGAAAAAGGTTACCTGTCCTAGGGAAAATCATATTGGGGGAGAGGCAACAAGGGGCATATATAATACTTAGAATTGTGGAGCTCAAAGAAATAGTCTAGCAGATACAGTATTCTTTTGTGATATCACTTACCCAAATTCAGAAACCATGACATTAAAAGCTGATATTTATGAGTGTAATTATAGGTCGCTCCCATAATTGCTTGAGCTGATTCAACTGGCCAATGGATGGGTAGCCACTTTTTTTTCCTACTCTAGGAGCATGCCTCCAGAAGGAGGGGGAAAAAAACTCTTTTTTTTGTTTTGTTTGGGAGGCCAAACTGCTTTTGTCCCTGCAAATTGATACATAGAGATATGTACACCTGAATTTAAGGCAGAAGACCAGCCTGTCCCCCATCCTCTGAGGGGCAATGTCCTCTATCTGTGTTCCTTGGGGTTGTTTTAGACTTTTAAAATTGCTCCTCCCAACTCTTATTCTTCTGAATGGAATCATGTGCTTTAGTGGATTCTGCTGCAGGTAAGAGATAGCAGTGGAAAAGTAGTAAGTAGGTCTAGATATAATGTCAGTGGAAATAAAAACATTTTAGGCAGAAAATAATCACTGGATTGTTTTATACAAGCGTATTTAGTCCATGTTAAAGGGTGCAGATTTTTAAAGTTCATTTTCAACACTCACCTGGCATGCATACTTTCTCAATTTTGTTTAGATTGGGAATGACTTGGCTAATATCCCCTTTCTCCAAGATCCTGCCCTGATTGTTAGCCACACCTTTTGAGGATAAGATACAAATCCTGGGGACATACTATTGACTATTTTGGGCAGGGACATTTAAGCCTGAGGAACCTGAAAAACGTAATTGATGATTATAATCCACCCGAGGTTTTTTCCTATGGCTCACAGGCTTATGAAATATATGTATTTATATTGAGGTTGATTCTGAATTAACTATGAATAAATATATTTGAAAGTGTTTTCAAGGCTAATGTAATAATCTTACTATGGTCATAATTATTAGTGATCATTTTGTTACTTTTACCTACTAAATTTAGTAACATTTGGAGTAGAGGCTGAAAAGCATAAATTCTTATATTTTTTCAATTTCTGTTTACTTTTGATAACAGCAATTTAAAAAAGGTAACTAGCAAGATTTATATTTGTTCATGAAACCTTTAGTGAGTTCCTACTATATGCATTTAAGTGTTAACTTTAATTTTGATGAGTTTACATTTAATTGATTTCTGAAATGCTTATTAAAGATAGTAATAGTTAACATTTTAACATTTATTTAATATTTATTATCTCCCAAGTACTGTTCTAAGAGTGGGAGTTGTATGTATGTGTGTGTGTGTATGTGTGTGTATGTGTGTGTATGTGTATATATGATTCCGGTGATGCCTAGATTTACATTTTCAGCTCAGACCTCTTTTTTTTTTTTTGAGATGGAGTTTTGCTCTTGTTGCCCAGGCTGGAGTGCAATGGCACAATCTCAGCTCACTGCAAACTCTGCCTCCCAGGAGCAAGCGATTCTCCTGCCTCAGCCTCCAGAGTAGCTGGGACTACAGGCGCCTGCCACCATACCTGGCTAATTTTTGTATTTTTAGTAGGACGGGGTTTGCCATGTTGGCTGGGCTGGTCTCAAACTCCTGACCTCATGATCTGCCTGCCTCGGCCTCCCAGAGTGCTGGGATTACAGGTGTGAGCCACCCACCCGGCCAGACCTCTCTCTTGAAATTGAGACTCCATTTCCAAATGTCTTATTGGATGATGTATAGGCATTTTTAATACATTAAAAAATAATGAAAAATTATGTGTGTGTGATATGTGTTTTATATATATGTGTGTATGTATATGTATATGTATATATATGGCATTTACTACCCCTGCAATGTTCTAAGACCTTTAAATATACATATACAATCAGGATAACATTATTAGTATTGTTCCTATTTTGTAGGCAAACTTTAGGCTCAGAGAGGTTAAGTAATTTGCTCCATATTAAAGTTGCGTGACCAGCAAGTGTCAGTGTTAAGATTTAAGCCCAGGCTTTGTATCTCTAGAGCCTAGGCCCTTAACAACTAGTTTGTACAGTGTCACAATAAGGAAAGTCTATTAAAATAGTATTCTTTCATTGTTGTTAGTATTCTTTCACTGTCATCACATACTAAATATTTTGACTTTCTTTCCTTAAAATTTGTCTCATTTAAATGAAAAAAAACTGTGAAAACTTTCAGCAAATGTATAGAAGATAATATAAAAACACTTTTGTACTCACCTATCAGCTTAAGAGACAAAATGTTATTTTTTGCTGTTGTAGAGAACTTAGTTGAATAACTTGGGTGATTTTTTTATGATACTGTAATACCATTTGGGACTATATTTTCATTGATTTAAAAGATCATCTGAAATGCTACATTTTCTCTAAATCTATGCTTGTAGTTTTTGCAATATAATATCTTAAGAATATATATCAGTGTATTGAGAAGCTTATTTTTTTTTTCTGATCACATAGCTGTGTGTAAATTGGGACTTCTTTGCCCTATCCATTGTGGATGATACTTCTAGTAATTCTAACACTATCTCTGTGATATTTATTCCAATTTGCCATCATGTGATAAATTACAAAAACAATTTTTTAACATTAAGAGTTAATTTCCTCCCGGGCGTGGTGACTCACGCCTGTAATCCCAGCACTTTGGGAGGCTGAGGCAGGCGGATCACGAGGTCAGGAGATCGAGACCATCCTGGCTAACACGGTGAAACCCCATCTCTACTAAAAGTACAAAAAATTAACTGGGTGTGGTGGCTCGTGCCTGTAGTCCCAGCTACTCGGGAGGCTGAGGCAGGAGAATGGCATGAACCCAAGAGGCAGAGCTTGCAGTGAGCCGAGATTGTGCCACTGTACTCCAGCCTGGGCAACAGTACAAGACTCCGTCTCAAAAAAAAAAAAAAAAAAGTTAATTTTCTTTAGTAATACCTTAAATTGGAGGAGTTCAGTAAATAGCACTTAATATTTTATGTGGTTTGTTTTTATGTATCACATGGATAATCCTACAAAGGAATAACAAAACTAAATTCCCCTTGTCCATATGGGGCTTATACATATGTAGCTTACATTCTAGTACAGGAATTCAGACAGTTTTTTTAAAGGTGTATATCAAATGTCAGGTTGTGATATGAACTGAGGAAGAGATGTTGCTATTTTATATTAGATGATCAGTGAAAGCCTCCCTGACTCTAATGACATTTGCACAGAGGTCTAAAGGAAGTGTGGCAGTGAGCTATGTTCACTGGAGGAGGAATGTTGTTAGAAACAGAAAACAGCAACAGCAAATACCAAAGATGGGAGCATGCTTGGCATGTTCTAGGAATGTCAGGGAGGCTAGCATGCTGGAAGCAGATAATGTAGAGCCTTATTGACCATTCAGAAGACTTCAGCTTTTACTTTGAGTGAGCTGGGACACCATTAGAGAACTTTGAGGAATGGAATGGCATGAGATGACCTACATTTTTAAAGGATAGCCCTGGATGGAAGCAGGGAGAACATGTTGTACGTTACTCAGGCAGAAGGTGCCACTGACTGCAGAGGTTTCTAGTTGGCGAAGTGACACCCCAGGATCCTGTGACAATATGATAAATCATTCTAGTTCTTGATCACTCCTCTGTGGTGACCTTGGTCCAGTCAATGGTCCTCAGTTTCTTCATATGTAAATGGGATTGGAGCCTTGCAACTCTAAGCCTCTACGTTCTATATTCTCTTTTGCTTAGTTTTAATCCTCTTA